GTTCAATTTTTTGCGCGATGATAGCTACTCAGTTCTGTGTTGCGACTGGATTATAGTTCAGCTAATTTTTCGCTCACGTAAGGAACTGTTGTCATCTTCCTATTCATCGGTCACTCAGTATGAGGATTGTATTGAGGATTGCGTTCCTCATTGGGGATTTTGAAAACCCTGATCTGGTGAGAGTGGTAGTATTCTAYGACGAGGAGTCTAGGGCRTTTAGGGTCAGGGTGAGGAGAGATTAAGTACCTGATGATTGGTTGGTTCCGACRTTTCTGGGATAGGGTAGCGCGTTTGGAGTTTTGGATTGTTTGCGGTCGACTGTTTATAGTGAGTAGGTGTCGAGCATTGTTTAACATGGCGACCCCGTTGAAGTGTTACCAATGTGGTGGGGAAGGACATTTTGCTCGAGAATGTCCAAGTAAACCCAATGGCGTGGGTGGGTATGGGAATGGCGGAGGGGGAAGTCAGTCTGTTTCCACTCCGTCCAYGCCTAGAYACTGGACTCCRAGAAGGAATCAGGTAGACGACGAAGAGAAAGACTTCCTACGTGAGCTCATTAGTGAGAAGAAGGAGGAGAAGGCGAGAAAGAAGGAATTGGCGGAGCAGAGGCGTTTTGATGAAAGGCTGCGTATTGAGGTGGCTAAGTACGCTGAGGCCACTAAAGCGGAGGTGATGGCTGAGGTGGGACGTCAATACCTTGGCCATCGGGAGGATCTTCGAAAGGAAGAGCACMTCAGAGGATGGTCCCCTCCTCCTAGGAGGAAGGGGCTTCGGCCTTATCGTGAGGAAATTGAAATGGACGGTGATGACCTCGACGAAGAGATCCGGAGGTTGACATCTCTCAGGGATAAAAGGAGAAAAGGTAAGGAGCCTGCTGTTGCTGGGGCCTTGCGACAGCCCACTTTCTCTGTGCCACCTACAGGGGCGGAGGACCTGCCTGCACGTGCTGAGTCATCCAGAAGGGCAGAAGCTCGGGCGAGAAACAAGATTCCAGCTGGATC